GTGGGAAGAAACTGCTCCAGTGAAACTTTTACATCCCGTCAGTGGAATACAAAGAAAATGAGGGTGGTTCTATACAACGTGAATAGCATGGTGGGTCTTATCCGTGAAGGTAAGAATTGGTGGAATTAAGGAATGTAGTTCGCCTAGAAATAGCAACAGAGCGGTGAGAGGCTTGCGACGTTTCACCTGTTGTCAGGTGGAAAATAATTTATTATCCACAAGTACGCAGAGATTTTTTTTTGGACTCTATCGAGACCCGAAAGTGAGAACTGGGAAGCAATGCACCATTTTAGGACTAATTTGGCTCTTGTAAAGGAAAGATGATAGCACAAGGTTTCAGGTACTTAATAGACGGGGTACAGGCAATCGACCATTTTCCTACAACTTTAGATTGATGGATCATATGAACAAATTCCACTTGAGATCTGGGATGAGTTTAAGTTCCAATAGTCACTGAAGGCATGGCGACTCCCTAAGTTAATATCCATTCATCGTGATTGATAATAGTTCAAGGTCCGATGGAATATAACTAGTTTGGTTTTCGCATGTAACCAGCCGGTTTTACCTCCACTAATACATAAGCTAGATCAGAAGAAAGATCATCTCTCGTCATCTAGAGTTTTAGAGGTGCACCCATATATTGTTATATCATCAGCATAAATATTCACAAATGACCGGGGAATACTCTTAGGCAGATCATTTATGTACAGAAAAAAAAGGTTAGTCCGAGGAGTGACTTCTGGGAGATACCTGTTTTAATTGCTAAGGCCCCGAAGGACTGGCTGTTAACAATTCCCTTCAGTGACCTACACATTTGGAAGGACTTTATCATTGAGAAGACTCTTCCATTGATTCCATGGTTAGAGAGCTTGTGCAGCAATACTTTATGCCACAGCTTATCAAAGGCCTTTGAAATAGGTTATCTTGAGATGTATTTGTTGTCTGGTTCTGTGAGTAATGGCAATTAGGGCATCAGCAGTGGATCAGGCCAATCAAAACCCATACTGTTTGTCGCTCAATAGGTTGCTCCTATTTAGGTCATCAACAATCTTCTTTTTGGTTATAGCCTCAAAAAGCTCCCTAATGACACTTAGGAGACTGATGGGTCTATAGCTCATCCACGTTCTTGAAAACCAAGCATATGCTTGACACCTTCCAGATGCTTGAAGGGGATAATTTCGCTAAGATCGGGGATAGTTTTGGGTTCTTCAGATTTTGTCTTGGCCAGTGGCTTTCTTGAGACTTCCCAGGTTGTAAAAAAACACTACTGAGAGTGTACTCAGTGAGACAGTGGAAAACAGGAAGGGGACATCCTATGTCTTCTAATATTGAGTTAGAGGCAAAAATTGAAGAACTTCGCCTTATCTGACAAGGAAGTGATAACCTCTGGGCCATTTATAATAGTGGGCGCAGATGCTTTGCCTCTAAACATACTTTGTTTGACATTTTTGCCACAAAAAGACGCTCATATTTCTCATACTAATTCATGGTCAACCGCTAACACACACACACACACACACACACACACACACACACACACACACACACACACACACACACACACAATTTTAACCAAAATGTTGCAGGTTCTGAAAAGGTTAAAATATAATTTAATAAGCAAAAACCCTTTCGTCTTTCCTCTTAATAATAACATAAAGATTTTAAGAATAAAACATTGTTTTTATTTTGTTTTGGCCCTTTTTTATCATCTAGTATGCTCATTTCTTAGCAAATCTTTGGCGGTACCTACTAGTATAATTGAATACAACAAAATACATCGTCAAACATCAAGAGAAATTAACAATACCTAAAACCAAAGCTCCTTGAAAATGGCTAAAGAAGAGACCGAAAGGACAATGTTCAATATGGACAATTTTTGAACTCCAACCAAACGAAAAAAAAACAACGTAAGAACGTTGAAAAAACTAAATAAAAAATTAATCATATTTTCCTTGTCTGTCATATCAACGAAACATGTGTAAAAGAACTGTTGCTGCCCTTATATATATACTAGCAGTAGAGCCCGGCGTTGCCCGGGGATGTAACAGCAAGAGATAGATCAAGTATTGACCATCATAAAGACTGAAAAATAAAATTGACAAAGATTATTGTTTAAGGTTGACGGACACACATGTCTTAATTTTTTTTTTTTTTTTTTTTTTTACGAATTGGTCAAACCCAAACTCAAACAAAAACATTGTTTTCAATCGTTATGAGTCTATCAATTGAATAGAATTTTATTATAAACAATTGTCTTGTAAATGGAATTTTTAAAGCATTCTGAATATTAATAATAAAGAAAAAAGTGTGCAAGACAATAAGAAACACTACCTGCCAAAAAAAAAATGAAGTTTTTGTTGAAATCGTTTGAAAAATGTAGGAAATCCGATCCCATATATAAACGAACACACACGCACACACACACACATACAAACAACCTGGGTTTTATAAGTATAACTCGATATAAGTTGTCCCCCTTTCATTCTCGCGATGAGTCTTAATCGTTTTTTCAAATTGATTTCGTGCAAAAACAATTGTGTTTTTCCAATTTTAGGCGCTATCAGAACCACCGCAAAGTAATTTTACGCAGTCCTGTGAAGTTTTTTTTGAAATCGGTTTGAAAAATGTAGGAAATCCGATCCAATATATAAACGTACAGACACACACACACACAACCTGGGTTTTATAATAAGTATTTTTATATATATATATATATATATATATATATATATATATATATTTATATATATATATATATATATATATATATATATATAATCGAGACTATAAAGAATCGCGTAGGTACCATCAGGTTTACAGATTTGGGAGAATCTACCACCTCATCCAACCGTAACCTATCAACGGCCATCACTGTTTAAACAAGTAGGCAGTTATCACGAACAGAGCTAATAATGTTAAAAAGGGTATTCAATATAAAACCTGGTAAAAAAATGTTTTAAAAATGAAAAGGCGCTAAAACAACTAACAATGACCTACATTGTAATAGATTTCTGAAAAATAAAAACAGCTTTCGTTTGAAAATTTTCTGAGGCGGGGAAAAGTTTCGTAAGGCTTGTATAACTCATATGGGTGTGTTTCAACCTTTGTTTGAAAGAAGATAAAGAAGGTGGCTGGAACTTTTTTATCAGCGAAACAACAAATATCAAGGAAATCAGCAGTTAAATTTTCTCACAAAAAAGATTATGTGCAATTATGTGTTATCAGTATTTTTAAGTAGACTGCAAAAAGTAAAGACGTTATGTTGCTTGTTGAATATCATTGTCTCGACCCCAATTATTTAATATGACCCTTGGGGAATTTGCGGCACCTGTTAAATCCCCTTTGGCATACCAAGGGCTTTCAAAAACAAAAGGGTTAGTGGTTGTAAGGGCATCTAGCAGTAAAATAAATCTGTTATTAACAATCTATGTAGAATATATGAACATTCGTGTAAGTTGCAAATATGAGGCTGTTTAGGGTAAATTAAAAAAATTGGATTTTCCTGTCTATCTGTGAGGTGACGTTGAAAATTTCTTCAGTGTGTGTGAATCTTGATGTTCTGTTTGTTCATTCGGTTAGATTTTCGGAAACGACTTATATTGAGTGATTCGGTTTTACAGCTTCATATTAACCATTGCAAGTTATTTACAGTCTGGAATTTTTTTTTTTTTTAGATTGTAATATTTTTTTTTAGATAATAATAGTTTTTGTGATAAAAGTCTTACTAATTAATCCATAGGTGGGGGAGAAGATGTGGATTCGTACCTTTCCAGGATGGGGGGATTTGTGACTATAATATAATGAGCCTGTGGGAAAATGAGGTAAAAACCCAATAAATAAATAAATAAAAAAGAAATTCATTTTCTCATGATGCAAGTAATAAAAAAAACGGAAAGGGCCAGCTCTGCAATTTTATGACCCCGACTTCCGGAAAGGAAAGAAGCTTTCTCTTATCCACTTTTCAACAAGATCATTCGGACGTGTTTGGCTGTCCTACTTATGAAGGAAATGAATTGGTTGGTTCAACTCAATGCAAAGCTGGCTTGAGCTTAACCATTTCAACCATTTTTATCCTAACGTACTTCTGAACCAAAGGAGAAAACGTACATACCCAAGAGACAGTGAGCACTTACATACCCAAGAGACAGTGAGCACTTACATACCCAAGAAACAGTGAGCATTTACATACCCAAGAGACAGTGAGCACTTACATACCCAAGAGACAGTGAGCATTTACATACCCAAGAGACAGTGAGCACTTACATACGCAAGAGACAGTGAGCACTTACATACCCAAGACACAGTGAGCACTTACATACGCAAGAGACAGTGAGCACTTACATACCCAAGAGACAGTGAGCACTTACATACCCAAGAGACAGTGAGCATTTACATACCCAAGAGACAGTGAGCACTTACATACGCAAGAGACAGTGAGCACTTACATACCCAAGAGACAGTGAGCACTTACATACGCAAGAGACAGTGAGCACTTACATACCCAAGAGACAGTGAGCATTTACATACCCAAGAGACAGTGAGCACTTACATACGCAAGAGACAGTGAGCACTTACATACCCAAGAGACAGTGAGCACTTACATACGCAAGAGACAGTGAGCACTTACATACCCAAGAGACAGTGAGCACTTACATACCCAAGAGACAGTGAGCATTTACATACCCAAGAGACAGTGAGCACTTACATACGCAAGAGACAGTGAGCACTTACATACGCAAGAGACAGTGAGCACTTACATACCCAAGAGACAGTGAGCACTTACATACCCAAGAGACAGTGAGCACTTTGTTTCACCACAGTCTCCAAAAACAGAATAAATGTCCGTAGTTTTTGCCTGCTTCTTCGTTGTTTAACATATGTGAACACGCACACATTTAAAATGCTCACAAAAAAACGCAACTTTTATAACCCAACAGGAATCTGAACTCTGCTCTCCGATTAACAATTCCGAGCCAATATCCATTACACCACCATCCAAGCTTGCAGCACCTGGTATTCACAAGCGGTTACCCATCTAGGTACTAAGCCGGCTCAATATGGCTTAACTTCGGTGATTGTGTGGGAACCAGTGTTTCGCCAGGATGTAGCCATAAACCAGGAAGCTGTTTAGGTCAAGAACTTTTTCATCACACATATATATATATATATATATATATATATATATATATATATATATATATATATATATATATAGACCAGAACCTTTCTTTAAAACATGTTTGTTGAATATAACAGGAAAAAATTGAGTTTCTTTAAAGTATTCTTAAATATTTTTGTTTGTTTGGGGTAAGGAAGTGTAAAAATTGTCTGTAGTGTCTATTAACCCAAGTGCTTTTGGGCACGTCTTTAGCCATTCTCAGTATATATATATATCCACACACACACACACACACACACACACACACACACATATATATATATATATATATATATATATATGTTGTTGTGGATTCCGGGATGAAATCCGGTACCAATAAATAACAAACGCCAAGAATGAATATAGGAAAATAATGTATTAACGTAATAATACAAACTGGTAATGCAGGTTAGTAGTTCCAGGAATACGTGTTAGTAGCAAAATACAGTCTTTGGTACTGAAGTATCGCTGTATGACTTCTTACTGAGTCTACGTGCTTGCTCACTGTGACTCTTGCTCGCTACATTCGTTCTGTCTGTCTGTTACCTTCACCCTCTGTTGCTCTCGTCTCGGGTCTTCAGGTAGCAGTAGTATATGTATATACTGGGTAAGTCCATTTGTGTAAAAAGGGGAGGACCCCTCAATATATATATATATATATATATATATATATATATATATATATATATTAATGTTCACCCCAAACAAGACCCAATAGTTACTCAAGGCAGAGGGTAACTGCGTGGTGTTGTATGAGCATGAGAAAAAGCAATGCAAGAAGAAGTGAAGTTCAAAGAAAAATAATGGTTAACCCTAGACTTGAAGAGGTCAAGGTTTTAGAGATTAGGAAAGCATCCTGCCGTGAGTCTGTTCCACAGAGCAGCCGTTCTTGGGAAGAGGCTGCCAGAGTGGAAATTACTTCTTGCTAATGGAATATGAAGGTAATGAGGATGATTTATGCTTGCGTACAGAGTATGGCTGGTCCCAATTTGAAAGGTCAGGGGTGATGGAAACAAGGAATGTAGCTAGTCAGAACACGTGCCATGAAAATAGCAATAGAGCAGAAAGAAGTTCGCAACGTTCCTTCTGTGGGAAAACTTCCCTCACAGATGAAGAGAAGATTTGAATCAACAGAGACGTTCTTCTACAGAGGGATGCTGAGAATACCATGGACAGATCGTGTGATCAATGAGGAAGTTTTTAAGAGAAATGAGTACAAAAAGAAATTTGTGTAGTAAGTATCAGAAGGAAACGGTCGAAATATCTAGAACACATAATGAGCTTAAATGAATGGCAGAATATGCTTCAAGCGGTGTTTCTCAGACTTTTTAAAGCAACGGCACACCAAGGAACAAATGAAAATATTACGGCACACTTAGCAAAATTTTTCAAAGAGTATACATTTATGTTATGGAATAAAACAATACATTAAAAAAATACGCACACAAATATAAACTTACTTTTTTAAAATTATTAAATCAAATACTCGAAAATAATATAAAACAAAGTGCACGAAATCTGTCTTTGGGACGTCACTGGATGTTCCAACATGACAATGACTCGAAACACACAGTACAAAATCTTAGAATACTTAGTTGACATCAAAATTAAGGTATTGTGGTACTCCACACAAAGTACTGGCCTAAAGCCCATTGAAAATTTATAGGCACACTTGAAGAAAAAAGTAAGATAAAGACGTCTTTCAAATTTGGAGGAACTAGAAGCTATTGCCAAGGAAGAATGGGGTAAATTATCAGTGTATATAGTGATCTTGTAAGGAACTATCAAAAAGCATTAAAGGTAATAATCAAGAATAAAGGTTACACAATTGATTATTGAGGCAAGAGGGCCAATAATTTTTTGTCCAATGTTAAATGTTTTTTTGGTGCTTTTTTGTATTATTGTTTGACATTAAAATAAAAAAAATTATTGTTGGCATCACTGCACATTCATTCAAATCAAATATTTCATCATTTGTGAAAAAATGCACATGAAGTTTTCATGAAAATTACATCTTTATTTGTAATTATGGAAGTGGAGGTGAATACTTCTGTCCACGGCTGTATATCTGTACGCCATGACAATATTTCGCAGCACACTCAAGAGGATCGCGCGGCACATTAGTGTGCCGTGTCAAGGCGGTTGAGAATCACTGCTTTGGAGATACAAAGAATACAAAGTTGTGGAGAGCAATGGACACCCACGTCTTGAAGGGACACGGCACAAAGAAGAAGAAGTAAAAAAAAAGATATTTTTTAAGATTTCAGGGCCATATAAAAAGAGGATCGACATAAGTGATAAGAAAGCCTGCCAAAAATAAAATCTAAAATAAGATTTAAAATTTGCGTACCTCAAAGAAAATAGGTGACGAGGTAGGAAAAGATAACTTTTAAATCATCGGAGTTGCTTTGAAATAAAAAAAAAAATAATTATCTTAAAATATCTTCGACTTTGTATCTCATGAAAACAGATAAAATCGAGATTTACAACAGTTCAAACAGATAAGCGGAGCGGTTAGAGATCAAAAGACTCATTTGACAACTGAAACAACTTCTTTAAGTCGATTGGCTTGGACTTCCTTTTCTCGTGCAAATTGTAGCTAATGACATTGTGTGAAATGTGTGAACTTTCTCAATATGTCCATTTCCACAAAAATTTTAAATAAAAACAGTTTTTATTTAAGTTTTTTCAACAAAACTTTTCTTTTAAAAATGTAAATGAATTACAATTAGTTTGGCAATTATTGGAAATGTATTTAGTATATGAATTATAACTAACAGATTATTAACGGCGCTAGAAAACTGTGACCTCGTAAAAAAAGAAAAAAAATCAAATGCAGTTTTTTTTGGATAAAAAGCGCAAAGATTCAAAACAAAAAAAAAATGGAAACACCTGGGACGATTGTTTTCCTTTAGCGTTAAGCATTTGAAACGCTGAAATTTTGTCAAATCTTTTTTTAATCATTTGACAGTGGCTAAACACATATACACGCACACGTGTGCGAGCGCGCAAACACACACATGCCCCCCCCCGCCACACACACAAACGAGAATATTTTGCAGTGATGTGTAGAAGGAATTTCCCCAAGAAAATTTGGTCTGAAATTCGCTAATTTTTGTCTTTCTACTTTATGTGCTGTGTCCCGTCAGGTGATCATGGCTCTCCACAACATACTGTCCCTTGTAGCTGTTAATAAATTTTTGTCTTTCTTTTATTTCCCCTAAACCCTCTTCCGCCATCCCTTTAAATCAAGCCCACCATACATATATATATATATACAGTCTCAAATTTTAAAAAATAAATCAGTTGTCTGAGGATCGCATGAGCATGAAATCGACGGTCACATATTCATATCCATTCAACTATAGTATATACCGTATTTTCCGCACTATAGTTCGCACCTGTATATAACCTGCACTCCTATAAATTGAACATAACTAGGTCGACGCTGGCAACCTGTTTTTGTGAAGCTATGTTCCCCTAACCCTGGCCACTCATATATATATATATATATATATATATATATATATATATATATATGGAGAGACGGGGGCGGGAGAAAGAAAGAGAAAGAGAGCGAGAGAGATTGCACATACGAATCATCCATGAAAGTTTAGACGAATTAAGTGAATTATTTTATTTAATTCTATTTATTGTTCTAACTCTTGATATTGACCTCTCTATTTACAAAGACTACTTGCCTTGGATGCATCCACTTCCGGGAACTGTCCCGATCGATCGAATTTTGGAGGTAAAATAAAAGCTTATACATATATATGTACCCAAGTACGTGCGTCTGTGTGTACATATGTACGCATCCGTATGCCTATATATGCGAGCCACTAGATATGTATTTTTGTATATAGGCGGCCGCATAATTATAGACATATGCACATAAACTCTAACAACAATAAATAAATTTAATTATAAATCTAACCTCCTACATATAATACTTATGACACCACCAAACTGAATTAAAAATAATACTAAATAAGAACCCAGTGAATATAAATAAATATGTGGATGCATGCATGCACCTGTGTATGTGTATGAATAAATATATTTATATATATGTTTGAGCATATGTATGCATAAGTATTTACCATTTAAGCATTAAAATCTTGTGTATCATATATATATATATATATGTGTGTGTGTGTGTGCGTGTGTGTGTGTGTGTGTGTTACCAAAACATTAATATCAATTTATATAAAAATGTAAATAAACGAAATACAACTTCCCTAGCAAAACCAACCCCCACCCACAAAAAAAACACAACTAAAATCCTCAAAAATAAAAAATAAATAAATGAATAAAAATAGGTCACATGTTTAGAGCCGAATCAAAACCAGACTAAGTTTACTACAGATAAAATAAAAAAAATGAAGAAAAGGGCAAAATGATCACAACTCACATCCGTGCAGATTGGCGCACGTGAGCACGCGGACTAACGCACACACATACACAGAGCACACAGAAGAAAATTTACACCAGTGCTAAACGTGTATAAAAAATGAAAAAAAAAAATATAGCAGTAAATTGCTAATATTCCCTGAAGAGTGGAACAACTCCTTCTACGAAACTCTGAAGGTAACATCAATCAGCAAGTGACAAATTTTACTCACATGTATATATATATATGTATATATATAAGCACAACATTCTACACATACGCAAAACATTGTTGTCTCCTGTCACATTGTTTAAAAACAACCGAAAGTAAAAAGCTTAACCAGCGATCGGTGTAAAACTGATCCCGGATATAAGAATGTGAATATGCGATATTATGGTATGTGCTGAATTGAATGTCGATGAATGAGTTCTTGTGGTGTATGAGTAAATTGTAATTGATGAATGGTATATGAATCAGATTATCTAGGTGTAGGGTAGTCAGTGAGGACCATCCTTCCTTCACCCCCTTTTGTCTTCGTGCTACATCAGATGTAATATTT